CCCCAAAACCCCAAAACCCCAAAACCCCAAAACCCCTCTTGTTATTATTCAGATTGAATTTATCATGTCAATGTTTGCATTACTCTGAGAGAACTAAACAAGAGTAAAGGAGAGTTATCATCCATTATTTATCTTTCAGAGATTTCCAACAATTATGAGGACTAGGACTCAGTTTTCATTCTCCTGCTTTCATCTCTTCACTTATCTAGTTGACCTCTATTGTCCCTCGAGTGTTGACCAGAGCATCTCTATTTGTAATTTGGAAGTGGTCTGAATACCAGAAGCCTATCAAAAACGATTATTCTCCAACACAATCACTGGTTTCAATGATTGATATAATAATTACAACTAGAGAGTCTCCTTTATCTGACAATCAAAGGAGATATAAATTAGGAGCATGGGAAGCATTGGATTACCCACAATTCAGATTCCAACCCCTTATTAGTTTCCTTTAATTTGATCTGCTCTTTGCACACTCCCATTGCATCCAAACAATAAATAAAGGTCTGAATCTTCTTCATTTAGCCTTTCTCTGGATTGCTCTATTTTGAGGAGTTGAGTTTGTAGACAGCACCCATTTTGATCGATCTTTGTAACTCTAATATCCTTACTGTAGCCTTTTCTTCTATTCAAAGATCATAAAAAATTTCTGACTCTATAATCTCCAAATTGATCTAATAGAAAGTCTTCCTGCGTTAACATCAGCACATCTAAGGCAGGTTCTATTTGCTAAAATGCAAGAATTCTGACTCACTGCTTCAATGGTCGGTTAGAGCCAGCCAGCATGTTTTTTAAGAAGGTTTATTAAATATTTAAATATTCAACACTGAAGCTTTGTAGCGGGGTTTTGGGGTTTTGGGGTTTTGGGGTTTTGGGGTTTTGGTGGATGGTAGATTGAAATTTAAGTAAACATTCCTCCAGAGAGAATGTTTTTGAATTTCTTCTTTTTTAGCTTTATAGTGTCTTCTTCTGAGCTACTAGAAACATAGGAGGAGATGCCTGATGAAGATCTTTTGTTTTTCTCTTTCATTCCTTTTATTTTCTCGATTTCTTTTTCAGCATCTTGAACAAGCATATCTAAATCTTCACCCATTTTGTTTTCTTCCTCTTCAATATCATCTTCAAAAGGATTTGGCATCTCTAATCCTGCAGGTGGAAGAAGCTGACCAGTAGCCATCCTGTAAAACTGCTTGAAGTTTACTTGTCCATCTCCTGTTGGGTCGAGCATAGATACCATTTCATCAATTTCTTCATCATTGGCATTTTCGTCCATATGATCAAGAATAAATTTAATTTCTGAAGCACCCACATACCCATTCTTGTTAAGATCAAAGACCTTGAATGCTTCTCTAATCTCATAATCAGAGAATGGCTGTCGTCCTTGGTTTTGATCTTTAAATTTGATGCCCATATTATCCCACGAATCATCTTTCTTACTCTACAAAGATAAGGTATAACTTACCTTCTTCTTCAGATTTGAATCATCAGAATAACTTGAGCTGGAGTCACTATCAGTTGTTACTTTCTTGCCTTTGCGTTTGGATAATGACTTTCCTTTGAGACCTTCTATGATTTTGTCCATTTTATCCTCCTCTTGTTTCTTGCTTTTTGTACTAGTTACTTTTGTCTTCAGTTCAGTGATTTTCTCCTCTTCGCTTGAAGACTTGAGCCCTTCATCAAGAATGATCTTTTCCATTGCTACATTCTGCTCGTTGGTAAAGGGATCAATTTCTTTTTCTTCTTCTAAGGAGTCAGTTTCTTTATCTTTACTGAGTCTCTTCTCTGTAGAAGGAGTAAGCTTTTTAGACTCTTCATTGCTACCACCACTCTTCTTAGATTTTTCACTGAAGCTTTTAATACTGGGCATATTCTTCTTATCTTTCCGAACAATTCTGTCAATAGGAATTTTAGGAGGTAGCTTTTTCATTACGTTGATGTATCCCTTTCCTTCAAGCTCTTGCTCAACCATGATCTCTTGAATTTGCTCGAAGTTCTCAAGATCTTCTCCCGATATAGAGTGTTGGCCTGGTAGAGCATTTACTTTTTCAAAGTCAGCAGAGATCATACTTTTAGTTAGCTCATGCTCTGGTTTGAAATTATCCATACTTTGTTTTAACATTTCTGTTGAGTCAGAAGGGATATCGAACATCTTATCAGTCATAGGATCGAATGGCTTTTTGGAAATATTTCTGAACAAGTCTCCAGAATCCTCTTCTGATTCTTCTTCCTCCCATTCACCTTCACTTTCCTCTTCTTCTAATTCACCTTCGCTTGCTTCTTTAATCTCTTTGGAATTTGAGGCTTGTTTTGATTTCTTTTGAGATGATTCTGCTTCAATCTAAAATTGAGTTATAGACCTACTTCGATAGTTTCCTGTCTTTTAGGCCGGATAGGCTCATCTCCTTTTTCAATCTCTTTTGGATCGGGTTTCATATCAGGAGGAAGTTCGGCCTCCTTCAAATTTTCAGGGCTGTCCAATTCACTAGCCTTTTCAGGAGATTCTTGCTTATTCTCTTCCTTTAAGGTTTGTGGTTGTGGTTTCTGCTCTGGTTTAGTACCCCGAATAACTTTGACTCCTTCTCTATCATCAGCTAGAGATATAAAATATAGAACATACTCTTCATTTTTAGGTTTCCGAGCTTAAATCCTGTCTGAGCATCAGAAGGTTTATTAGAAGTTGTGCTATCCCATTCAGAAAGCTTCGGCTTTTCTGATCCTGATGTAACCTTCTTCTCCTCTTCTTTTGGAGCCTCAGCAGGTTGTGCAGCTCTATTATAGAGTTTGATGAGTTCTTACTTTTGAAATCCAAGCACAAAATTTCCTTTATTTTTAGAGCTCTCTGTTAGATATGTCATTTCAGATTCCTCTTCTTCCTCTTCATCTTGGTTATTGTTTGGTTCAGGCGCTATGGATTCCTTAGATATCTTTTTACCTTGGTATGAAATAATATCTAATTTCGGCTTCTGTGGAGAAGCAGGTTTTGGAGGATCTTTAAGCACTTCTTGCTGTAAATCTGGCTTAGGATCAGCTTTTGGTTCATTTAATTCAGTATAAACAATTGGCTTGGCCTTCTGTTCTTCTTTAGGAGATTGTTCCTTCTTTGGCTCCAAGGGTGTAAATTCTAAATGATAATAAATGAAAGGTTTACTAAGTACTTTATCTTCTTGAGGACTTTCTTTGGGGTCAATCTCTCTTCCCAAACTACTCATTGATTCATCTTTATTGTCACTCTTTTCTGAATTGAAACCGACGACAACTGGTCCTTCTTTATTTCAATGTGTTCATAAACTGACTATACTGCTCAGAGGTTGTTTTATTATCGCTCTCTTCTTCCTCGCTTTCGTACTCTCCCTCAGAACTTTCACCTTCTTTTTGCTGTTTCTTTTCCTTTTCCATCTCAAGTCTCTTCTTTTGGAGTTCTTCCTTCTTCTTCTTAATTTCTTCTAGCTTATTTCTTCTTCAGCTCTTCCTTTCCTTTGCCTTGGAATAACTTGGCTGGCTTATCCTAAGAAGTTGTTAGTGAGGAGGGATAGATAGGAGCTGAGCTGCTTGATAAAGAATGAAAGAATGATGGCTTTGATAGGTTGTTTTTATATTTTTAGAAATGGCTTTTGTGAAATTAGATACTCACCACTGATGAGTTTGTAATTGTTTCTGTTTCGTATTCGGACTCTTCTTCTTCGTAGACTGAATCTTCGTCAGGGTCTTTATTTATGGTCTTCTTTATCTTCTTCGTCCTTTTTGGCTTTTGGAGATGGAACATCATCATTAGCTTGAGCCTTGGGTTTTATCCCAACTAGTCTGCTATTGTTGCTAATGATTGTGCTTTCGTTTTCATATTCGCTCTCCTGTTTATGATTAATACTGTAAGTATTACCTCTTCTTCCTCTTCGTAGTAGCTTTCCCCATCTAAATTAGATTAAGAATGATGAATGGCAGAACTATTCTCTTTCTGATTCGAACCTAATCGAATGAGGGAAAATCTGCAGTATTATAAAAATTACCTTGGTTATGAAAATCGATCATTTGTGAAGTTTTCAATAAATTATTTATATTAAGGGGTTTTGGGGTTTTGGGGTTTTGGGGTTTTGGGG